TAGCTTAAGTTTTGAAAATATAGCAAATGTTCAATATGGTTAAAATAACTGAAGTCTGCATTTTATTTTGAGTTAAAGGTTAATAATGCACGATGGTAGGCTGAAATCTTTGTTTACTTTTGTATTTATATATTTTGAATTACTTGTCTGTGATCGACTTGAGACCTGTCCAAGTAACAGAAAGGGAGGAGGAGGGGGCAACATTAGCATTCACTTACAGGCCGAATCTGAAACCATCCATTACCCATCCATTTTCTTTACCCACTTCTTCCATTTTGGGTCACGGGGTCGCCGGTGCCCATGTCCAGCAATCACTGTGCGAGGGGCGGGGTACACCCTGGACAGGTCGCAAGTCCATCACAGGGCCACATAGAGACAAATGAGACAAACAACCATTCACTCTCTCACTCACACCTAGGGAGAGTTTAGAGTCATCATTCAGTCTAACATGCATGTTTTTGTTCTGTGGGAGGAAACCGGAGTACCCGGAGAAAACCCACGCATGTACGGAGAGAACATGCAAACTCCACCCAGAAAGGCCCCTGGACCGGGGTTTGAACCAGGGACCTGCTCGCTGAGAGGCAGCAGCTCTACCAGTTGCGCCACCGTGCTGCCCTGAATCTGAAACGTAAAATAAATTTGAAGCAGAGTTTTTGAAAACTCCTTAAGACTTTCTCTATACCTCTGTAGTCGTGAAATATATGGAAAAAAATCTGTATAATTTACAGAACATCTGTAAGAGTTGACATGTATGACAATGAAATGAGGTATACTACATTCAGCGATAGCAAAAACGGGAAAGATTTGTTAAAACTGTTTATGTCCGTCAATGTGGGCAACGTGGGACACTTGAGTAGGTGATGAAATCTCCACCCCGCCGCCTGTTATTGAGAAGACAGAATGATATCTTTACACTTCGACAACTAATGGAAAAGACAAGAGAGCAACGCACAATTTTGAATATACCTGGACTTTATTAAGGCTTCTGATCTTGTGAATTGTGAACCGATTTTCATTATTCTGAACAAGCTTGGCTGTTCACCTAGGTTTATAAGGATTATTGAGATGTTATACTCAGATATACATGCCAGCCTGGTAGATGGAGAGCTTAGTCGGTCTTTTCAACGCAATGGTATACAAGGCTGCAAACTTGCACCAACATTGTTTTCTTTTATGCAGCAGGCTTGCTTTCAAAGATGTAAACATACATACAGCATACAGATTAAGTTCCGTTATGCTGGAGATCTGGTCAGTCTATGCAGACTCAAATAAAGACCAAAGTTCTTGGAGAATTCATTAGGAAAGCTCAGTATGCTGATGACGTCGCAATCTTCAGTGACACGTCAGTTGACCTACAGTTGTTATTACCAGTTAATGCATTCAACCATCTTGCAATGTGAATGGGCCTGTGTATCAACACCGCCAAAATGGAGACTATTTGAACTACACAAGAGCTCTTCATTGATCATCATATTCAAAATTGGCAAATGTGGCTCATTTAAAATATCTTGGCAGCTTTGTTACCAGTGACTGTTCAATGAAAGTGAAACGTGCTTCTCGTATTCATGCAACGCCCTGTGCTTTTGGACGATTACGAAAAAATTCTCAACTCACACGACGTCACCATGTCCACAAAAGGTCAAAGTTCACAATCAGTGGTTGATGCCTTTGTTACAGTACGGAAGTGAAACATGGGGCCTATATCACCATGAAGTCAGACAATAACGTAACATCACCTTTTTCCGATTATGAATAATAAACGGGACCGATTTGTTAGCAGTGAGGATATCTTGGTACATGAAGGTGTTGAAGACATTGAACTGAGACTGACTGAAAGCTGGCTGTGCTGGCTCGGCCACCGAATGATGACAGACCTTCTGTATGGTGAACTGACTCAGGAAGCATGACCTGTCGGCTGACCAAAACTGAGGTTTAAAGACACTAGAAAAAAAATGTATTTAAGAGTGCTCATGTGCTCAGTCAATGGACACAGTTGTGGAATAGACAAAAATGTAGATAGCTGATATGTAACATGTGTGACCGTAACAATGATTAAGTTACAAGTGTATGAGGAAAAGAAGAGGAAATACACTGTGTAATAAAAGTCGATGGTTCACAAAGCATTTACTTGTATTTCAAAATAAAGATAAAAATAGATTCCACAGTTTGTGCTTTAACATAATACCACCTACTTTGTATGATATGCTAATGGAATTGGAAGTGGTGGTGCAGAGGTAGGAGAAGATGAGCCTGTGATCGGAAGGACGCTAGTTTGATCCACTGGACATACAACATCAAAATGTGGGTAGGAAAGGTGAAACACCCACACCTACCTCCACCCTCATTTGCCCTACTCCGGGCCCTTGAGCAAGGCCCTTAACCCCTACCATCTGCTCCCCTGGGCGCCCTAGATGGCAGCTCTCTACTCCACATAGAGGGCTGTGGTAGATCGGTGGTATGGTCTGTGGTTGCCTCAAGAAGGGCATCCGGTGTAAAAACAATTGCCAAATCTTCATGCGAGTTACTTTGCTGTGGCGACCCCTGAAGAAGGGAGCAGCCGAAAAAGAAATTCCTTCAAAAAATGCATATCACCCACCGCCTTTCATGCCAATGTTTCATACTAATCTCAGAAAAGGGTTATATCATGTCATCTCTGGACAGTTTCTTTTTGGGAGAAATGTTTCGTCTTTCATCTGAAAGACTTCATCAGTCTGAGGCCTGCCAATCCAGATCTGTCTTATAAATAGCACCTCCTTGATGTGGTTCAAGCCAGCCGACTGTGCAATTCCCAGAAACTGGCTTTACACTATGCCAAAAGAGGACCATCCATCCAAAACAATCATCATGCATAACAATCTAATGTTTTAGGTCAAAGTCCACAGCCGGTTGGCTCGAAACACATCAAGGTGCTATTTCATTCAACCTTTATTACACAGGTTAGTCTCATTGCGCCTCGAGGACTCATTTACAAGAGAGACCTGTTTTAAACAAAGAACACAGATGACATGAGTAGACAATCATAAAAAAGCACAACAATTGAAAAATAAATGGAAAAAAAGGATTAAAAAAACCCAGCTACATTCTTTATTTTTATAAAACAGATCTGGCAGGCCACAGACTGATGAAGTCTTTCAGACGAAACGTTTCTCCTAGGGATGCACGATATTGGATTTTTGGCCGATAGCCAATATGCCCAAACTTATTTGGCCAATAACCAATACCAATATTTTTCCCCTAGACTTTTTTTACAGAGACTACATCACTTTCTCTGCTGTGGAATTAAAATACTACATTATTCTGCATGGTCCTTGTCAATTTGGCCTGCTACCAAATGCAGATGCCGAAAAGGTAAACATTGCCTTTTATATCGGTGAATTATTTTGCTGGATTGGCCGATAGCCGATATTTAACTTTATTGCTAATATCGGCCGATACTGATACCGTGCCGATAATATTGTGCATCCACAGTTTCTCCCCAAAAAAAACTGTCCAGATGACATGATTTAACCATTTGGGGGATTTATCTACCTGGATGATTGAGCTTTCGAATCTGTTTCAGACTACGATTAAGACTAAGATTATCTAATGTTGAAATTGAGAAATTACAAAACTGTAGCCCTTTTGGTTAAACCTCAAAAATAACATTATGCACAATTTTGTGCAATATTACAACAGGTCACACTCGGAGCACGTGTTGTGAATCACTCTCAGTTACTACCACATCAAACTTTAGCTCAAAATCTGCCAAACGGACAGTAACAGCCTTTGTACGTTAGGTAATGTTGACGGTCTGTCTCGGCTATCACAAATGGGGTTGACTCCAAAAAGTTAATCAGTTGTAGTTGTACACTTGACGACTGCTTCTTATACGTTTTATTAAAATTCCCCCAGTGGTTCAAGAACTAACACACACAGACAAGAGCGCAGTCTGATGATAATTATCCATACTAGTAAGTGGATTACTTTAGTGTTTAGCTGTTAAATGTGTGTATCTAATGCCATAGTGGGACAACATTTTAGGCCATGCAATGGTTCCCACTGGAATCAAAGTTACCAGGCAGAAATATGCACAAAACAAACAAACCCTGTCTGGACCACCGCTTAATGCTCCTGCGCTAGAATACATTGATACAGAAAGGTCACCGTGATAAATGTGAGATTTAAGCACTGACTTGCACCACCATGTTCTACTCTAGGTCCTTAATTGAACTCTGAGTTGATCAATGTTTCCAGCTGAACCCTGACATGATGGTGTTCAAGCCTAAAACCAGAGGGGAAACTTCCTAGTCTGTAAAAAATTCCAGCTGCACAGGCTGCAACAGGACGTGGAATTTGTGAACATGCCTGTTTATAGCGGTTTGGTTGCTGGTGCAAAACCCTGCACTCACACAGAGGAGGAGGAGGGGGTGCAACAGCAGAGCAGGGGTAGGTGTCAACCTCACTACAAGTCTGTGGAATGACAATCATATACACATTCATTCAACCTTTATTTATACAGGTTAGTGTCATTGAGCCTCGAGGACGCATTGTAAACACCAATTTAACCTTCATAACATAACCTCTAGTTATGAATCCAAGGTGTGTTTGTTTTTTAGCTATGGGGTGTTTGCAACATTTGTTTCCACATAATAGTAACCGAGCTTGTGTAAATCTTATAGTTAATGGGTGCTTATTGCTCACAAAAGTATGTTGTCATCATCTGACCTGCTCAACTACTTCAATTTGTAAAAAAAAAAATACTTAAAGGCAGGAAAAACTCGCTCTATTTTAACACGACCGAGCAGCTTTGGATAAAAAGGTGACAATAAAAAAATAAAAACTCGCTGCACAGTTGAGGTTCAACAACAAGAGAGCTCGAGCTCTTTGTGAACGAGACGTGTTAGAAACTAGTAGAGCAAAGCAGGCAGAGTCGTGAGGCGTTCAGGGGCCCGAGACCACACAACAGCTTTGGAGAAACTTGTTTCGCCGAACATGAAGGAGAGCGGAGCCGCTTTACTCACCTCATTGTTCGGCTCGAGTGGAGATCCCCTCCGCGAAGGCAACTTCAGAAGTAAAAGCCGGCGTTTCACCAGTGAAATAATAAAATATACAGCGAAACCGGAGGAAAAAACGCCGGCAAAAAGGGGTATCCGCCAGCGGGATAAAGAAGCACACCTCGACGATTTCCTGGTTGTGTGGAGCTGGAGGAGGAGGAGGAGGAGGGGGAGGAAGAGGAGGGAGTAATACAGTAGGAAGCGGGCTTGTCAACTCCAATAACTATCCCACATTAGTCTCGTAGGGAACAAGTGGTGCCACGAAGAAGCGTGGCTACACGGAAACCCGGACTTCTCTTCCTCACGCTTTCAGCTGAGTTCCTGCTGCTGAAATTCACCTCCTCTGTCTCCGTCGGGCTGTTCTCCTTCCGTCTGCCGCTCGCTGGAACCGTAAATTCACTGCACGAGTCCGGCCCAACCCGCCAGCTTCAAAGTAATCCCGAGATGCGTTCATGTGCACCTCGGAAAACGCCAAATCGGGAATGTGAGTTGGGGCTTTAGTTCCGCTGTGTGGAGGGATTTCAGTTTGGAAGCCATGTCAGAGCCTAGTGTTGCTTACAGAAAGTAACGAATACATTTACCGGTACTCAAACTACTAACTCAAGTCTTCTTATACAAAACTGATTATTTTTTCAATTATTTACTTCATAGCACAGGGCGGCAATGGCGGCCCGCGGGCCATTTCCGGCCCTGGGATGACTTAAATCAGGTCCACTTCATAAAAATTATATATATAATTTATGCACTGTATATGGGGAACGAGATGGGGTAGGGCAGCTGACATGGGACCAGAAAGTTGTTGTTCAATTTCCAGCCATTCCCACCTGTTGTGGTGTCTCTGAGCAAGACACCCAATCCCCAACAGACCTTTTTCACGACAACCGGAAGTAGCGTCTCATGGTGCTGGGTTACTTCCGGCTTTCGCAAGTCTATGCAAATGCCAGGCTTTTCTTTCGCTGATGTGGAGGAAATCGCAGAGGTGAATTCTTGAACCAATAAACTTGAGAAAGGATAAAAGTTCTTCCATGAAGAATATATCCACAGCAATCAAGGTAAGAAAAGACGTCGCTTAGCGAGCTAACCGTTAGCTACAACATATGAAGTACATAAACATCGTAATAAAGCCTAATTGAGTGTGCTAAATTATTTGGAATATTTGAGACAGACGTGGTATAAACTTTTAAATGATATTTTAACATTCTGATATGTGTTTGCCATTACAATTTGTGAAAGAAAACGTACTAGGTGTTAGTTATGAGATGCTGTGATGCTTGATGTTCAAGTTGTGCTTTACTTCTGCATAACTACAGGTCACATGTTGTCGAGGGACAGGTAGTTGTCAGAGATAGCTGCTTCAGGTCCGTGAATAAAAATGAGGAACCACAGACTGCAGGTTTGTAACAGTCAGAGAGCCGGTTGGCTCATGTTCATTAGTTCCTGTTCAGCTGAAGAACTTTGACATATGATGAACAACTTCTGTACTGAGAGCTTACAGTAACATCTTCCTGCTCACTGGTTACTGTTTGTCTTCTGTTGTTGTTGCAGCAAAGTCTGTTTTGTTCTGCTGATGTTTCAGCTCATCTTCAAACTACAATCTATTACTTGTTTAAAGCTAAATATGTTATAACAAGTATTATATGCATGTGCTAAAAACAGTTATCTGTTTTAGATCTCACTGGGTGACAGCAGGAGAAAACCGACGTCAGCTGGAGTCCCAACCACTTATCGCTCGTCCTAGATGGTCTCTAAACTTTGGAGCGGGTACCATCCAGATGTGGTCTTGTGCCACAGGGCTCACAAATGTCTTACCAGTGCCCAACTGAAAAGTCCTGCGTAGCATCATTCTGGACCACATGGCTCCACACTTCCCTGCTCTTCCTCCGATGCTGCAGTCTTCCCAACGTGTGTTTTGTGTCCACACTTCACATCTTCAGTCTCTGTAAGTGTCACTGGAAATGTCTCATGAAACAGAGACCAGAACCAGGGAGCAGTCCAGATGTTCTGCAGGCGTACATCTTCTACAACCAAGGCTTACTGCTGTTTCCGTGTTGCAGAAGACTCCCCGGGTGCTCAATAACTGCCCACTGGTCCACCTGGGTATATCTCAGGTGCGACGAGTTAAATGCAGAGAACCAATTTTGTAATTGTATGGGAACATACAATGATGACAACATATAGTATTTTATATATATATATATATATATATATATATATATATATATATATATATATATATATATATAATAGAGATAGATAGATAGATAGATAGATAGATAGATAGATAGATAGATAGATAGAGAGTG